TCGGTCCTCGGTCGTCCAGCAAAGGGAATAGGAATTTATTCTCTCTTGGGCCGTCATCCATCAAAGGGTGGAAAGAAAATTTCTTCTTTGTGGATGACACCGAGTGGAGTAAGAGGGATGCCGAAGTGGAACAGCTGTCTTCTTGGAAAGCGAAGAAAACCAAGTAGAACAACTATAAGTTGAATGAGGATGAGGTGGAGGAGGTGAAGAAGCTGATGAGGGAAGATGGGGACGTAGTGGATATCTTGTACCTCACCAGCCCGGAGGCGATAGATGCTGTTGAGCTTTATGGGCCAAGCTCATTGGGGGAAGGTTGGTGGATGTGTTTAATGTGCCATTTTGGTGAGAGCTTAACTAATGTGTTCTAACATTGATGTTTGTTCTGCAGTTGAGATGGACGAGTTCGTTGGTGCTGCTGGGGGCTTGCGCATCCCCAAGAAGCCAAGGAAGAAGTCAAAGACTTCAACTGCGGCTGAGAAGGGGGTGACAGAGGGGGGCGACTGTCCAGCATCTCTGCCCAGGCTATGGAGGTTCAGCCAAGGCCGAAGCCTACGATGGGGGGTAGTGAGGATGTGAGTGAGGAGATGGCACCTCTCCAGAGGAAGAAGAGGAGGGTGGCAGAGCTAGGAACTAGGGGGGACGAAGTGGTGGAGTTCGTGCCCCTGCCTTCTCCCCCAGAAATCAATCCGGAAGAGAGGGAGAGGGGCGAGGTCGAAGTGCGAGGCCTTGGTGGGGGCAGGGAGCGCACCCCTCCGCCCATATACCAGAAGAGTTTGTTTGAGGCGACAAACAAGACTGGGGCGAAACACTTCCTCAACGCTACTCTTCCGGAGGTGGACAGAGTTCAGGCGAAGAACGAGGTGGTTAGCCATGCGGGGTATACCATTGTGAGGCATGCCCTAGAGGTACGCGAAATAATTAGATTTTACTCCGGTTGTATGTTTTGAGTTTTTTGTCCTGCGTGTCTGATGTTTGACTTCTGATTGCCTTGTAGAGTGCGAGCTGGACAAACGCTCTAGCGCAGGAGTATGCGGAGAGTGTTAGAGATCGTGCCAGCTTGCAGCGGCAGTGCGATCAGCTTCAGAAGGAGAAGGATGAGCTGTAGAAGGAGAAGGTGGAATGGGAGAAGCAGAAGAGGGAGATGCAGAGAAGGCTGGATGAAGTTCTCCCTTCAGTGACCGAGCTCCAGAACGAGAATGATGTCCTGAGCACGAAGCTCGGCCTTGAAGAACGTAAGAGGAAGATTTGCGAGGAGAAACTCGAGGCTCAGGACAAATATATGGACAAGATGAGGAAAGCAGCCTCGGAGCTGAAGAAGAACGTGGACCTGCTGGTGCACAACGGGATGGAGGAGCACATTGGCCACTTCCTCAACTCCAGCACCTTCGAGGACATCCTCAAACTCTACCGGCTGCCAACCGCAATCGTGGCCTTCACCGACTGTAGAAAGAAAGTGAAAGCCCAGTACCCAGAGGTGGACGTGACAACAGTCACCTTTGGGGAACAAGAGGAAGGGGTGGAGGAAGATGGGGAGAGCCTCTGTGCTGACTTCCGACCTCAGATCACGCTGAGGTGGGAGCGTGATGCAGAGGGGCGCACTATTTTTCCTCCAACCTTCGAGGCTGAGTTGGTGGCGGTGGG